AGCAGCAGCAGCAGCAGCAGCAGCAGCAGCAGCAGCAGCAGCAGCAGCAGCACCACAACCACCACCACCACCACCACCACCACCACCACCACCACCAACAACAACAACAACAACAACAACAACAAGAACAATGCTCCACGGAATCTAGGCATCTGCCGCGCATTGATACCCATTCAAAAAATTAGCGTGCGTGCACTAAGCGGCATAAGCTGGTTTCAGTAGTGGCAACAGAACTTGCCTTTAAAATTTGTTAAACTTTGTTTGCGCACTGTAAATAACAGCACGAAGTGGTGAACGGGAATTTAGATGTCACAGGTTTCCATGTTGGATTTCCAAGATTTCAGTATGCGTGGCTTTTGGGCCCAAAACCGTGCATCAGCCGATCAGCCAATCAGCCGACCAGCCAATCAACCCCAAACCCTCAACCCTGAATCCCTAAACCCCTATACCCTAAGTAACCCCTAAACCCTAAACCCCTAAACCCCTAAACCCCAAACCCGACCAGCTAATCAGCCGATCAGCCGATCGGCTGATGCGCAGCTTGGAAAACCACTTTGCGAGCACAATATGCAAGATTTTACAGAAACAACATTCTCCATTGACCCGCTTGGGCCCCACACCTCGAGCTGCCCATTTCGCGCAGCGTAGTGGAAGGGTGTGCGCTGATTCCATGTCCTGGCTACCACATCTGCGCACACTTGGAAAATGTGATGCGGGATGCAATGAAAGGCAGGGGATAGGTACGGCTAGTTCAGGCAAGCAAGGGCGCAATGATCGTGGGTTGCCTTTGGCAGAGGAGAGACTCGCATATCAAACACTCGCCAGCTCTACAGGGGCTCCAGGGCGGAAAGAGTTTCCGCCGCCCACTGAGCAAGGAGCCGCAACACGTCGAGGTGGCCGTTGCCTGCTGGAAATTCCGGTCCAAGAACCCTGCTGTGCCTTGATCTGTTGGAGGGAATGCTTGCACCTAGCGCTGCCCACGCACGTTGCTGGAACTGTGCATGACGCCATAGCTTCTGGCGGCGTACCTGCCGCCCAATGGAAGCCTCGATCACCACGGGATACTTGTCTAAGGGTTCGTCAGCTTGGAACATGGAGCGAGGTCGTTTCTACCGCCATAAGTTCAGTATGAAGATGTACTAGTACGTTGCACAAAAAGGCAACAGCGCTGTAAGTACCACCGTTTTGGGCATGGTCGCCACAGGCATGGATGCTTGTGGCCACGTGTCTTGTTCCACATCCTTGCGCAGTATGTTGTACAAGAGGCAAAAACGCCGTAGATACCAGTGTTTTGGGCATGGACGCAATATGAATATGACGTTCTTCTCCCCCCCCACCCCCCGCCTCCCCACCCAAACTTGAACGCAGGGCGCGTTACGGGCGCAGTCACGTCAACTTTCCACATGCTCTCTAGGCCTGTGTACGACAGTTCGGCTGAGATCTCAAGGCCTCATGGTACACCACCTTCCAGGGAGACTCCGATCTATCTACCTGTTTGTAGGTCTGTATGCGGGTGTGTGCATCTGTCTGTCTGTATGTACTTAGACACGAAAGGAACATGTATGTGTAACACATGTGTGTATGTAGTCCATGTGTATGTCTCGACATACTATACAATTAAATGCGACGCCATGCTGAGGGTTTTAGAGGAGCGCATGGGACGCCTTCGGTCGGGAAACATTCGGAAACGAACAGCTGCCAACCATGCTCTACTGCCACGGATTTAAGCTTGAAGCTCTCGCTCGGGTTTACGACTGAGTGTGAGGCTCTCGGTGGATTCCAACGGTGTCGGATCTGTTTGTTCCTACCTTCCTACACGCAACGGAAGAATCGCTTGCTACTCGAGTAGAACATGGTGTTGAACAGTTGAACTACACGAGAAGAAGCCAACGCGACCTATACAGCCCTCAGAAGGGAATGGCCAAGCAGCAGCCGCATCCATTGTGATCCTAAGCATTTGTCGCAAGACAAAAGCGACGCTTAAGCAATAAGAAACCAAGACGATAAGACATCTCCACGCACCAGCCCGGCAGATTGCTTTATATTGTACGGAGGCTCCCTGTTGCCATTCGAACTTTGCATGTCTGAAGCCTCCAGCAGTCGTCTGCCAGCTCGGCCCCCCTAAGCCAAGCCGTAGCTCGTTCTTGATGCTAGCCGCAGTCCCTAAGAACGCAGCTACTCTCCATGAAGGCGAGGTTCCGTGGCTGCCAGCACTTCCATGGGGTTCATGCCGCGGAGGGCCTGCAGCAAACACCAACAGATCTCGCATTATGACAACCAGTTTAGGTATTGGCGTTATTTGCAATACTGCTGGTGGTTTTGTCAATTAGTAGTGTGTTGTGGTTTCAAGACGCACATGTACTCGGAACAAGACTCCGTGCTGTGTCACCGGACATTGCACTTCTTGCTGCTGGCTGTCTCTTGCTGTTCTTCTTCTCACGGTTGCTGCTCTTGGTATCACGATGTTATGGATCATGCAGCTGCAGCACTTTCTACCGTTGTCACTTCGTCGAGATTTCAAGGCTTGCTTGTTTTGTTCTATCCTGGACGCTTGAATAAGGTGCAAAACATAGACTTAATAGCATATGGGCACCAAAATACCAGACCTGTCGCCCTTCACCACAGCACCTCCACATCTCCGGCACGAGCTGCGACAATGGCGGGGTCCTCCGCCTTGGCGAGGCAGGCCCGAACTCGCGCTCAAATGCAAAGCTGACTTTCACAGCGACGACTCGTGCAATCTCGGGAGAACCCCGAATAAAGAGGTTTGCAGCCTATCATGCAATGATTATTTAGGGATTGGCTCTTCAGATCCTCCACGGATGGCATGATGCGTAAGCCTTGCAGAATCCCAGCCTTGCCAGCGCTCCGGCGACCGGGATGTGTCTGCGAAACAAGAGCAGTCAACAGCTGTCACAACAAGATGGCAGAGGAAGTGTTAATTCATGATCAACGCTTGATCGGCCCACCCAGTTCGTTTTGAACAAGTAGTGTAACGAACTAACGTAAATCATCTTGTAGAATGGGGCTTGGACATGACCCTCGGTTTGAAGGCGACGGCTTTTGTCAGAACGAATGAGCTAAAACAGAGAAGAGATGAACACATAGCCTGGGCTAAGCGGTAACAAGCGTGGGTTCATGGTGCAGTCTCCATCCTAAACCCCTGGTTTGAAAGGATCTGTTTGGAAAGGTGATTTCGGCATCACGGGATCTTCGTGTTACTCGTCCGTTGTCTTTCATTGTACAAGCGCCCTTAAGCACGTCATTCTTGCTACTACTACTTGTGCCAGCAAACACGGTTTCTGAAACCTCTGAAATTCAGAGCGGTGACTAAACGCTAGAAGGCATCTCGGAATAGTGATTTGAAAGTCAACTGGCGGTCTGAAAAAGTGGTTCTCAAGTGAGCAGGGGCCTGGACAGGTGATCTCAAAGTAACCTGGGGTGATGTGGGTCCTGCAACATTAGTTTTAAGTTGCTTTGCCATTTGCTCTTTTTACGAGACTGTCTTTCCTTCTGCCTAGGTCACTAGGTCCACCTATGGGGACCTAGCGATTCCTTGAAGCTTTTTGCAAACGGGAGGTTCCAGTCAAGGCCTTAATTCATCAGTTTTCTTAACCCTCTGTGTAAGCATGTGCACTGTGTACTGTATTGAACAAGTGATTGGCATGCGATCAGGTTTCTGAAAAAATGATTTCACAGTGATTCTCGGCCTGTAAAATCGTAAAAAGTGTTTTGAAGTGACCAGGGGCCTGGAGAAGTGATATCAAAATGACCTTGGGCCGGAAAAGCGCGCGGAAAATCGCATTCAAATGGTATTCAAAGTCATGTATCGACCCGTCTCGGATCACACTTCGTTTTCGCGCTCTGCTTGGCTGACGATCATGTGTCTCCGTGCGCCACATCACTTTTTTCACTTCTCCGCACCATAGAAACACTTTCTAATAACTTACTTTTAGGGCTTTCCGATTTCCATGGGCTGACCGCCAGCGGGCGTGGCAATGCTTGCTTCTTCTGCATGTGGGGGCTCGCGTTCATGCAAGCAGCCACCCAAAAGTTAGAATCTCCATAGGCACCCTGCTATGGGACCCTCTGGAGCGCAGTAGCACTTCATCGAACCATTGAGCCCTTAGCCCCAAAGCAGGAACTGCGACACAGAACAGCCGAGGTGTGGCCTTGCCTTTGGTGCTGCAACCTTCGGGCTGCCTCACGAGAGTGAATGCTCCTTGACATGAGGGCCTAGGCAAAAACAGAGCCCAACTGCAGTTTGATAGAAACCCCCTCCACTCCCCAAAGGTTCGGTTCTCAAGCATGTTCTCTGTGTCTGCTTCTACGACAGATTCAACACTGTGACTGTAGGTTGTACTTGTAACAGTATGACGATTGCGGTGCTGGTCTTGTTACTATTGTTGTTACCGTTAATACTGTTCATGCAATCACTATTCCAATCTGTTTGTATTCGTGGTAGTTGTGATGTGGTAGTCTTGGTGGTAATGGCGTCGTCGTCGTAGTAGTAGTAGT